CCTCCTCTGAATCTCTGTATAATTTGACCTTTTTTCATCCTACTTCTCAACAGAATCTGCAACCACATCCTCACAGCATTTAACTCCGCTTCTGTTGAGGAGAGACTTTTAGAATTTTAGTTCTCCTTTCCATCTTCATTGCGCATTCTCCACTTCTTAGCTTTATTTCCCTCCTACTTTCTAATCTGAAAAATTCACACTTCTTCTTCCTTCATGGAAGTCATGTGTATGACCTCTTCTTCCATTTCCTCCTTCTTTTCAATCTCACTCAACCCACATAACAAATTAAACACCCAATTAATTCAGCATAAACTTGTTGTGTTCAATTATAAACTTGTCAAATCTTCATATTCAACTTGTTATTTTCAACTACTCTATAAACTTGTTATTTCTAATTATAAACTTAATATTTTCAATTATAAACTTATTATTTTTTATTATAAACTTGTCAAATCCTTACAGTCAGCTTGCTATTTCTAACTACTCAACAAAGTTGACATCTACATTACATCTCATGTTAAATCCTCACAGTGATCTTGTCATCTACAAGTAAACAAACACTTGCTTTTTCTAACATTTCACCCAACATTTTCATTGTTTCCTCCCCCAAACTCAATGTGCATTCAGATTGAAAGCACATGTACATATCAATATTTCCATAAAGTATCTTGGAAACATGAGCAATTCGAGCAAATATAAACCGCACCCAAAGATATAATAATTTGAGGGCAATCCATGATATCTAAAGCAAATTTTCAGCTAACAAAGATATTAAAACAAATTTACTTAAAAAAAATAAATATAACTCAATTTAACCATCCATTATCCATGCGTGCAGCATCTAATATAGATATTATAAAAAAAAATATCATCCATGAGACAATATAAAATCAATATATAAATCAATTAATTCTCTAGCATCCAGCAACTATGAATCCATGATTTGAATAATAGAACAATAAAAATACATGAGGCAATTCAAGCTGAGTCTCATTCGTCATGTTCTGCAGAGTTGTTTAATCAACTGCTCCCACACACAATATAACTATTCTATCAGCATTGCCAAAACTAATTCAATTTTTTCAAGATAACTATTTCTTATTGGTCAAAAAAGCATGAAAAACAAGAAGAATGAGTTTTTTAATCAACCATTCATGCCATGCATTCTCATCAAACCAGCAATTAGCAGTCATTTGCGACTGATGGCATCAAATCGAACAAGGGGTAAGCAAAGCATTGGGGAAGATGAAGAAACTTAACGAGTCAAAAGTATGGCGGCTAGCTATGTTGCGACTTGCGAATCTGTGATGGGGCGGTTAGACGCGAGGGAGAACTGGGGAAGGCCAAGTGAATAATTCTAGGGCCAGAGGTTTTGAGAAAGTGGGAGTCTGACAAGTATGAGAGAGTAAGAGACAATAAAATAAAATAAAAAATGTTCAAATACCTTTTTCATAATTTTATTATTTCAAAGGTTTTTTTTTTGTGATTTTCTCAAAAGGAAAAGATGACTATTATTAAATGAGAGTTAAATCTGAAAAAAAAGGACATTTAGTACCTGTCTTTAAATTTTATTTTTAAGACACTTTTTCACACACAAAAAAAATCTTAAACCATATTAACCCTTAATTAAAATATACTAACTTTTTAATTTTATCCTTATTTAACATATACACATTTTAAAAAAAATAACAATCTACACTACTCCTCCGGTCGTTAATATAGGATCTAATTGTTGAGTTGATTTTGATCCTAAATATATGACTCATTTCTCAGATTTATCAATTTTATCTAAATTACCCCTATAGATACTTCCTCAAGCATAATCAAAAAAAAAAAAAGAAGAAGAGATATTAAGAAAGATGATTATAATGTTTTAAGAAAAATATCACATTTCTTATAATTAACTAACTTACTTAACTTCCTTAATTCAATTAAATTAATTAAATGGATTTTATATTAAAGACCGGAGGAATATAATAAATGAAAGAATGAAGTAACTTATAAATAAAAAAAAACTTCTCTCTCACTTATAAATTGGATTAGAAGAGTATAAGCTAGAATTACCTCTAATAATTTCAAGTTGATGTAAAGAAACATATGATGATATGAACAAAAGTAGTTTATTTTTTCTTTTATTTTCATATTTAACTTTCCATTATTAGAAACATAGTCTTGAGCATTAAAGTGGGAGACAAGTTATTGCCGTAATAAATCATCTTCAAAAGATATCCTCTACACAATTCAAATTCACATTCCACAAAAAGAAGGAAACTCGTGAAGGAACATAAGCCAGCCAATCCAGCAAAAAGGCTAAATGGGAATAACTTGCATTGTGTGTAATGGTATCTCATCTAATGCTTGCACAAAGTAATTAAGAAGTACGCTCTACTTTTGCTCGCTTTTAATTCTACATTTTCACAGGACAGTGGTGTGAACATTTTCCAACAACTACACTAAGGCGAAAGTATATAAATTTGAATTCCATACTCATCTTAAAGGGAATGTACCAATTGCTGCTGCTTCTCAAAATGAAGTTTTAACTGAAAAATTTAAAAAAAATAGATTGTACAAATTAAATTAGATCAGAAAGTCCAAGATCTCATTTCAAAGATAAGGACATGATGCACAAGGATGTATTCATCCTTAATTCAAGTACCAAATCTGGACAGGAGCGATATATGTACAGAAAAAAGTAGGAAAAAGTGAAGTGGCAGAGGAAAAACTTTTGGCCATGTTGATGAGCAATCCAAGGGGGCTTGCTGACTTCAAGCAAATTTTTGTCACAAATATAACCCAAAGAAAGTATTTTAGCCGCACATGGAAAAGAGAAAAAAAGCAGAACAGCCAATCTCTTTTTTTGGTTTTTTTTTTTTTTTTTGGGGCAGGGAACAGCCAATCACATGTATCTTTCACATTTGAAGCACAGTGCAAGTTAGGACTAAATACATGGAAACATTAATTGAAGCTAAATATTCATGTTTACAATCTGACAACTGAACAACAATCAAATATTTTCCCCCCAACTTTAACTCCATAGATATTACGAGATATAACTAGGGTGATTCCTATTTAATTTGGCAACTTTGTCCGCAGAATCAAAGCCATTACTCCAAATTAAAAAGGTATTTTTGTTATTAAAAAAAAAGGTATTTTAACACACAATGAACAGTGGTGAGATATTAGGAGAAGCAGCATAGTCTTTGGTCATACAAGTCCAATTATGTTGGATTCTAAAAATACCAAAAAGCTACACTTCATAGTAGCTGCCACTCAGCAGCATTGACGATGCCTGTAAAATCTAATATTAATAGTCAATACACTCAGACGTCCCTTACTGACTGAAATAATCCAAAATAATCCACTCACAATACAAAGCTTCATCGGGCAGCGGATTATCCATAGTATAAGTTTAACTCCAGGATCAACAGCAAATCAAGCAATATCAATGTGAAGATAGGTCAGAGCTAATAATGTCCTTAGCTGAAAAGGGGCAGCTATGCAACTTCAAAAAGGTCTTCTTTATCAAAGGCATTCAATATATATATAGTTTAGGGTTTCAAACTCTCTGTCTATTCTAATCTGACAGCTTACCTAGCATTTAAGATAGGGGATTTGCATAGATTTATTCTGATTTTCTAATGATTATGGAATCACATCCAGATCCCAGTAGTAACAGAAAAACAGGGTTTGTGCTTCTATAAAGTGTAAGAATGCCTCTATGAATAACTTCTGGCATCAAATTTTAAATAAAAGATTGATGGGCATCACAAGTCACGTCGTAACAGCTCAGGAAAATACATGCAAAAATGAGCAAAAACATTACAGATAACAGAGAGAATTATTCAACACAAGTAGTTGTTGCTAAAGAACCTGATCTTTTCATTTTCTTTTGGATAAATGAGAAAAATTATAACAAGTAAGAAAAATACACGAGAGGAAGTCGAAATATCTACCCAAGAAAAACAACTAGTATCAAAACAAGACAACGCGATTACAATAAAAAGGAAGATATCAACAAAGCCGCCCAATCCTTTGCATATACGCATAAAGTGACTCCCTTGAAATTGCTGTGAACCAAACACCACAGAAAGGCTGCAAAAGTTATGTCTCATAGAGCATTCCGATACAGCAAAATATTCCAAATCACTGGAAAGCTTGTCCAGTGACAGTGTTTTCCTTCTCTCATACACATAAATATAAAAAGTAGAGAAAGCCTAACAATTGAGATTTTCATCATTTAAAATACTTACAGTTTTACAACTGGTGGTTGGGTTGAGTGGAAGGGACTTAATTCCCCTTAAGCAAAGTTGAAGGTCTGAACGTTGTAGATGAAAAATATTACATTAGGAGAGTTAAATCTATTGGCCCCAACAATGTTTGGATATAATTTGGCAGTATCAGATCTTAGATGGTTGTATCAAAGTACCAGTGTTTTAATGAGCATACTCCACTCAATCATTTCTTGTGACTTTAAATGAGATCTTAACAATTGAAACATCTGTGTTTCAATCGATTGGCTATGGGTTGTTGAAGACTGAAGAGTTCATCTGATGTGTGCACATACACATTGATAATTGTTAAGACAGAAACTCTGAATGTATAGAGAAAATGCTTTTGCATATGTCATGTTTAATTACCAGTTCAGATTCAGGTTAACACCTTCCAAATTAATTAACTATTCTTTTCCTAACTCTATCCTTGTTGAACTCAAGTATGTTTGGAAGATAAGTGTCAAGCGCAGACCACAGACAAAAGATCATGGTCAGCCTACACTTTATAATTTCCCTACAGCTTTAGCCTAATGTCTGTAAAAGTAAAGTCGTAAAAGTAACTGCATGGCGAGGTTATTAAATGCTCAGACAGGTTTTGGCGTCCACTGGAAAACTAGGATAGAAGTGTTAAACTACATATGTTCTTATCCTTTTCTTTTATATAACATCGTCCATCCTTCATACAAGTTGTAACTCTATTTTTTGCCAGCTACATACAACTTGTCACTCTAGAAAACAATATATAAACCACTTGAATAAAAAATAATCACCATTAATGTCATGCATTGAATGAACTCCATCCCATCTACTTCCCTTTCCCCTACAAATACTACAACAAAAGAATGAAAAAATACGTATGATTGTGTCAAAAATTTATTTGAAATATATTGACAAAGGAAAATGGGCTTTCTCTAAGCCTCTTCTTGCCTTTGCTGCGTAATTTAACTGTGATATAACTGTTTTAACTGATCAAATCCACATGCTTTCTCTAGTGTTACCTAGTTGCACAGTAAATTGTTGAAGTTAGCACTTCTAACTGATAAATATACCCATCAGCAGCTTCATCCTGCAACAAATTAGACAATGCGTCAAGGCCAAACGATTATGGATTTCAATAAAAGTATCTTATGTCGAGAAGGAAAAATAAGGGAATTCTTACTTGGCAAGATGAGCAGAAAATTTTACATGTTTATGTCTGCTGCAATTTATACCTTAGTGAGGCAAAATCTGCCAATGTTCTGGCATGCCGTTCACTATAAATCATGAGAGAATCCCATACAGATCCATTAAACCTTCACATCAAGATTTGATTTGCACCTCCTATCAAATTCTCAAGAAGTTGAATTGCGTGATACTTATAGTCTTTGTTTAGATGTTTCATAAGGGCACTGTGTGTACAAGAATCAGGCTCTATTTCCTTATCTAGCATTTCCTTATACAATCTTAAGGCCTCCTTCCAATAACCCATGTTGCAGTTCTCATTGATTAAAATAGTGTAGGTATACTTATTTGCAGAAAGACCGTATACTTGCATCTCTGTGAAAAACTTGTAAGCTTGATCCATCCTTCTCACTTTGCAAAGACCGTTTATCAACGCATTGTAAGTGATCACATTTGGATAAACACCATTCTCCTGCATTTCGATGAAGTACATAATTGCAAGTTCCAGCCTTCCCCTAATTGCATGTGAATGAATCAAAACTGTGTAAGTAACTACTGAAGGTAATATTCCTCTGCTCAACATCTCATAGAACAACAATCTAGCCCTCCTTAGATGGCCAACTGCCAGGTGGGCATGGATGATGCTAGTATATGTTACATGATCTGGGACAAGTCCATCATGGAGCATTTTCTTCACAAGTTTATTTGCTTCTTTCAAATTGCCCAATTTGCACAGCCCATCTATGAGGACATTATATGTGATCAAATCAGGAGGAAAACCTTTAGCTAGCATTTCTTCTTGCATACCAAAAGCCTTGGATAAGTCACCAAGTTTCAGTTCACCTACTATACGAGTAGTGTACGCAAAGCGATCTGGCAACAACCCTCTATGAAGCATCTCGTTAAAAAATTCCTTAGCCATTTGCAAGTTACCTATCATGCATGATCCTCTCACAAGGATTGTGAAAGTGTAAACATCAGGACTTGGCCCATGAATGATCATTTCTTCTTTGAGCTTCTGGGCCACCTCCAAATTCCCCAATCTGCAAAGACCATCTATCAGTGTATTATAAGTCACAGCAGTGGGTACAAATTTCCTACACTGAAGCTCATCAAATAAGACAAAGGCTTCTTCTAAGTTCCCCAGCCTACAGTAACCATAAATTAGAATGTTGTATGAAACTATGTCCGGCAGCAGATTCTTATTTAGCATGACAGACAAATACTTCCTGGCATCAGTCATTCTTCCCAACTTGCAAAAAGCATACATGAACGTATTGTAGGTCACTATAGTAGGCGAAACTCCTCTGCTTAACATCTCCTCACCAATAATAGATGCTTCTTTAAGCAGTCCCTTGTTGCAGTACCCGCTGATCAAAGGGTTATAGGTGTAAGCTGAAACCTCCAGTCCAGATTTTAGCATCTCCTCAATCAATTCCTTGGCTTGCTCTAGTTCCCCTTCGTTGGACAAACCATTTATCAAAATATTATAAGTTACATCGTTGGGAAGACACCCTCTTTCTTGCATCTCCGCTAAAAGGGCCATAGCTTGCTGGACTTCTCCTTCCTTGCAAAATGAACTCAGCATGGTATTATACGTCACAGTTGTTGGCTTAATGCCAAATTCAGTCATTAAATTATAGACTTCTCTTGCTTTATTGACCAGACTTTTATTCCTAAGTGTCCTAAGAATCCTATTACAGTTCTTCACATCTGGCAACAGCTTGTTATGAATCATTTTATGAAAAACACATAGGCACTTCTCTAACATTGATTTTTTTGTATATATCCACAGCAACAGATCGAGAAGCTTAACAGATACCTCCACAGGCACACAACCGCTAATCAAAACATTCATAATTCCGTGCATATTCCCGCTAACCACCCTCTCCATAATCAGATACGCCGATCGCATCTGATTATTCTGCGCAAGAATGTCAAGAATAACGACAAGTGCGAATACAGACCCCTTATATTCAGGTTGGCTCTCCACCCATCTAAAGAAGCGCAAAGCAATTTTGGGCCTGTCTCGAATGGAGTTAAGGACCCGAACGAACAACTCGGGTTCAACCACTACAGCTCGGAACTGATCAGACTCCCAATTACAGTTACAGAAAGCTCCAGGCTTTTCTTCAACGGTGTCGAAGATAAGTTCTCTGAAATGGACCTCAGGAGTCGAAGCTAAACTGGAGGAGCTACAGTTGCAGCAATAGAAAGTGGAGCAGAAAGGAAAAAGAAGACGTACTTTGAGATATGTGATCGGTGCAGCAGTTGCAGCAAAAGCTTTTGAAGCTCTGAAACAGAGGGTCATTGAGCAAACCACGCATTCGGACTTTTGGATTGGACTCCGGGTGGCTGAAAGACCTCAAAGAAGACTGCGAAAATCAATGTAGATAGAAGATGTTGCCTTCAAAGGCAACGCCATCGACTACCACCGTCGGCGAAGGTTCCAGTGGGATTGAAATCCGCCGCCAGAACGGTTCCTCAGGAGGTGGAAAGGCTTGAGAAGGCATCAGATTCAGAATTATGAATCAGAAGTCCTCAACTTTCAACCCGAAACCATGTGTCGGAGCTTCGTGGCGAATCCGAACCGCCTTTGGTCCCGTATTATGATCATTAATAAGGTCGTTTGGAAAAAAAAAAAAATAGATATAGGTTATCAATATATATAATCAACTTATATTTTGAAAATTTGGGCAATTTATTTTATATATTTAATGTATGTTTTATCAAATTCTAATAATTAAATTGAAAATAATAATAAGAATTACTCCATTCGCAGAAATAAATAATGCGCAGTTTCTAATTTGATCAGAAAATTAATTCAAGCATGTAATTTTAATTTTTTTTAAAAAAATGAGAGTGAATAAATATATATATATATATGTGTGAAGAATTTAATGAAAAAACCTAATGAGTATTTGAATTTTAATATTTCAATTCTAGATTTAATTCCTTGATGAATTTTGCTCCACGGTCCACCTAGCTTGACCACAAAAATATCAAACTACCAAGTACCAACGACTCTTCCCATTTATTTATTAGAAGAAACTAAACAACAAGAAATAATAAAAAGGCTAAGGGCCTGTTTGTTTGTTTTTTTGTTCTCAAAGTAATTTTATAAGAATTGTTTCTTAGAACAAGTTTTGAAAATAAGAAAATAAAAAAATTTGTTTGGATAATAATTTTAAAAAATCATAGAAAATCACACTTGGTAGATGATAATTTTCACTAATAATGATAAGTGGTGGATAATAAATAAAAAGAGAAGAAGATTTTTCAATCTTTCAAAACAAAAAATAAAAAACACAAAAACAAAAAACATGTAAAAGTTGTTTTGGTTTTTTAATTTTTAAAAACATATTATTGTTTTTTTAACAATCAATTAAAAACAAATAACCAAACAAGTTTTTTTTTATTTTTCTTTTTTTAAAAATAAAAAATTGTTTTCAAAATAAGAAACCAAACAAGCCCTAAATCATTTTTGTTTTAATGTTTTGAGCTTCATTTTCGTTTTTAAATTTTATATTACTTTAATATATTTTAAATATACCTTTTAATTAAATTTGGTTTTAAATGTTTTCTGAAGTTTGGGGGCAAAAAAAGCTCTATTAACTTACCAAAATCACTGACTAAGCCACAAAATTTGTGCAAATACAAGTAACCGATAAAAGAGAAATTATCAGTAAAAGATAAAAACGAACGGTTAAAGTTAAAACAAGCTTAAGTTACAAGATAAAATGAAACATCAAATATATATGCGCATATATATATATATATAACTTTAGTATATACCATATCCTGTAGGGATTTTTTTTTTTTGGGGCTAGGCCTGAAGGAAAATCTATGTCTTTGATTTCCCACCTTATTTAACATCCATTTGTTTTGAAAAGTTATAGGAACAAATTTCTTAACTTGATGTATTACTACCTCCAATCCTTAATATAAGATCTCGTTTGACTTTTAGTTTGATCCTAATTATAAGACCCTAATCCTCTTTGTCCCTCATATTTATGTATTTTTTTCCCAGGTAATCCTTCTAATAATAGTAGTTCTAGTCAATATACTTGATTAACAAGGATATTTTAGGAAAGACAACACCTATTTATTACAAATAACTAACTTAACTTATTTTCTTAATCTCTTCAAATTAATCAACTAGTTCTTATAATTAAGACCGGAAGTAGTATAATTGTTTCGATAACAAATTTAGTACTATCAATTAATAACATCTAACGAGACTAAACTTTCAGTGACTTAACCCTTGTGCGTTATATGGAGTAGTTTCTTACACTGTTTTTTAATTTTTTGTAGAGAAATTTAAAGGTAGAAAAAAATTGTACTATTAATATTAATAATATGAAAATAGCAATAACATTTTTAAAAAAGGCAAAAAAATGTATTACTCCCTTAAAAAAGAAAAAATTCCAAATAAATACTCCTAACATTTGGAAAACCATATTAGTGACTTCAATTTGATAACTGCCTATCAAATTGGAATTTACAAAATGTTGGGCTTTTGCCACTCACTAAGAAAACAGATCACATCAGCCAGGCCACCCATCCAAACATCAATTATTTACGATACCTTTTTAACTGTTTATTGTAACGAACTAGCTATTCACAGTTATGATTAAGCAATTGACAACACATCTTAGCCAATTCCATATTTCAATAAATTAATAATGCAAACGGCCTCTGTTTCAGGTATATAGAACACTTCTTTAACTACTTATTACAACGTTTTAGCTATTCACCAATATAATTTAGCCATTAACAATATGTTTGAGCCAACTCCGAACTTAATAAATTAATGTAAAACATCCCTTTAACGAATTAGCTATTTGCAACACTGGTGGAGCAATTGAAGTCAAGATGTTTTTACTAACATAAGTGTTATACGCATTTGGATCCTTTCCATCAACAAAATAGGAAGATGCATTCAGAAAAAGAGTTATGTTCAAGAGAATGTGATTGTGTATAGGACCCAAATCATATTAAGTATAAGGCACATTACTTTCTTTTTTCTTCATCTCTTTCCAAATGCATCCTTTACATTCGTTTCGTAAATGTATCGTAGATCAACCTGTCTGCCATTTCCTGGCTAATTTTGAAGGCACACATCCATAACTTGGCTATAAATTCCTCTAAATGCCAACCAGCAAGTTAAACACACATCTTCAACCACTTTGGAGTTGTCTAATTTAAAACATACGGATATATGAATCAAAATTTTGCCATATATCAGTTACAGATACAAAAAAAGTTGTTTTAGCAAGTAAATTTCACGAAAGAGCACCTTCTTCAGCAGAAAATGCGGCTACAACTGAAAAATTCTAGTACCAACGTAATCGACAATTTACCTTCTTCAGGCTGAGCTCATCAGACTGAACACGCAAAATATCTCCCTGGAGCATCTTAGCCTTCACGATCCATTAACTTGTGAAGGATAGCCTGCCCAAAAAAAAATGTAGTGAAGTTATTTTCCCGTCACTATCATCACAGATATTGCTTGTGATGATTCGTAATCTAACAGTATTTACAATAAGAAAGATCCTTGGCTGCAATTCTTCGAAGTTAGTTATCATGTTCAAACCCTCCCCAACTTTTTTTTTTTAATGTAAGATAATCGTTGAATTATAAAAAATGTTTCTAATTTGAAAGCATTTTCCCCCATTAAAATCCATTTATACACCAGGAAAGCTGAAGAAAATAAACCAGAAAGCTACTAAATAGTTTAGAAGATAAGGCCCATAAAAAATAGGCTGGCTCATTCAGTAAGTAGCTTACGGGGCATGAATGATATGCTTTTAGTCCTTGGTGTAGTTCAGCAGAAGAGATTAAAAGCTTTACAGGGCGGAACTCGACCGATGAACCATATCCTCTGCTGTCTGTGAAACATATCAGTTCACGGTTGATAAGATGTTCAAATGCCTGCATTACAAAGCAAAACACCACCCAATAAGCTTGTAGACAAAATCAAAGAAAACATCACCGTGAACTTCATTGTCCATATATATGCACTGTCTCAAATACATTATCAGAAACACACACCCTTAAGCAGACATTTCGTGCATAATAATCAGAAGTCTGGAAGGAATCGTGCACATTTTTATACTCTGCAAAGTATGACACACAAATTCAGTGAATAATGTAATAACAGTAGACTAATGACGCATTAACTATCAAAGTTTGACCTTTCATAATAGAATTGAAGTTGCACAAGGTCTGTTCTTTAACTTCCAACCTCTTCATGCAAACCAGGATGTAAAGTTCTAATATGGAGCAATCTGTTTGACCAAGATATAAAGTAACAAAAAGCAATCAGTTACTCTAAAAAAGAACAAAAGGAATTACAAAGATTGTTTATTTACTTTGCATGTGTTCTCGTGCACATTAGTATAAATAATTGCCATACTTTTTAAACATTCCAGTTTGGGTTGCCTCAGAATACTTGAAAACGCCGTTTCAAAGTTCTCGTATGTCAAAAAGCCAGTCTGCACATCCATACATGAGACAGCACAAAATCTAGAAAAGCATCAAACTCCCGTAAGTCTGTCGGGTAGTCTATCTCATACACAGGAAGCTTTAAAAGAATCATTGTTAGACAGGTATAAAGAAATACTTACAGAAACCTCAGCAAATGTTTGATTGAGGAGTCCAAATTCAAATATTTATTGAAGGTTTCTTTGAACCTCCTATCTTCCAAAATATCCTAAATAATGTCAAGGACTCCACAAGAGATGGGGAAGAATATTTTTTTTTTTCCCCCTGAAATAAAGCTATTTTTTCTGCACATAAACACCACTAACTACTAGGGGTAAATTAGTTGTTTTCAATCAAATCAATAACTCATTACAGAAATGATGAAACCACACTGACAAAAATAAGAACACTAGCACCTAGAAACACATGAAAAACCAATTACTAAGTCTTCACAAGCAAAATAGAAGAGGCATACAAACACCAAGTTGATTTGTATCATGAACAGTTTTCTGGGTGGCACTATTGCGATCATTCTGAAGACTCATCTTCCATAGACTTACCAATATAAATGAAGACCTATAAGTAGCAATAACAAGTCTTATCCCAATCAACAATTAGTATCTCTTAAGAAAAAGGGAAAACCTGGATCCAGGTAACTTGAAGAGCAATAATTAATTCCACAGCTGTAGTATTTTTGGAATAGATTATTTCTTTACAAATTTATTTTTTAGGTTACTATACATTCTTTTCTCTCAGAACAAAACTAATTAAACGTATGTCCTAAAAAATTTCAAGATGTGAATGATCCATATGTTAAAGAAAATCTCAACTTTTGGGATTAACTTGAAAAATTTTCATGAAAACCATATGACATTTTGAGATGATGTCATCAAACGCATTCATTCTCCTAGGAAAGGATGTTAAGAAGTTTTCCAAACTAACATGGAACTATCAAGATGAAAGAGTCAGCATGAAAAGGATACTTGAACCTTTCTATTAAATTCAACAGCATAATCATGTGGAAAACTTGAATCCACTGGTAATGACAGAACTTGCTCCAAAATTCTACATACAAAAAGTCAAAAAATAAACCATTTATTCTCATAGTCATCATACGAGCCAAAATGGCCAGCCTAGAAGAAATTACAAGAAATTTACCTCTTTGAGTCTTCTGTAGAAGGTGGAAGGAACAATAACTTTCTATGTGAAAAACGGGATCGTACTCTTTTCTCCAATAGCTGATCTGCATCCTGCAAAGTGGATCAGATTGATATGCTGAATTCATGTTATAATAGATTGTATTCCATTGAAAAGATATTCAAGCAGATTAAATTAGCAAATTCTCAACCCAATAACAATTCAAAAATCACCACTAAAACCATCAAATTAGAGAGTTATTCCCCGTTGATCAACCAGGCAAGGAAATTGTGATACAGTATACTAATTTGATATTCAGAGCAACTTGAAATTTACGAGGGAAGCAAAAGCAATGAACACACCAGCCGACAACTAATGCCAATTACAACAGCCTGTGATGTTATTGATTGCATAGCATCCAGCAAGCTATAAAGCAACCTCTGCTTACCCTGTGGAATATCAGAATGGGAATAATATAAATGTATAATTGGAAAATTTAAGTTAAATTAAACATAGAATCATAAATAACATTTCTCACAGGACACAGTTAGGTCAAATAAAATTCATAATTTGCACTGGAAGGATTTCAGTACTGGTTGAAGGGGGAAAAAAAGAAGGTGGAGTCTTACCTGGGCAAACTGGTCAAACTCATCCAGAATAAATACAATTGTTTTATGTGCTAATCCACACTCCCTGGAAAACAAAGATAACAGTTGTTTCAGAAAGTTAAACAAATTACCCGTTTTTTAATCAAGAAAGCTTCTACTCACTTTAGCATTGCTACCATGAATTGAGAGTTGTCGTCAAACGATGCCTATAGAAGTGCATATCAAAATCAACAAATCACTATTCCAAAGTTTATAATGCATAATATAAATCTTGCATAGGCTAGCCTTATTACCGCTTTTGAGAATTGCAATTGATGCTCCATGCATAACTGCCTAGCTACTTCCTGATTGATCATTAAAAAAAACAACAAATGGGACATGATATAGGGAAAAAAATGGGGGCAGCAATGATAATAAAATCAACAAGTCAAAACAAATTCAACTTAGGTTACAAGAAGATGTGGGAAAATTAAAGTAATAAGTAACAGACAAAAATCAGTATATTGAATTTTTCATATTTATATATGAACTCTTTATATTCATTGGTGCATGACAATGTAAATAGTTTTCAAGTGTTTGTGTGCGCAAATTCAAGTCCCTAGGATCAAATAGAAAAGATTTCTATCTTCAACATTAAAATTTGTCAATTCTATTATATGCGTAGTCAGAATCTCTCCCCATCCAAATCTTATCTGGGTCCATCGTCATCCAATTTCTCTGAGCATTTACAAGTTCTAAATCAGTAAAAGGTCTATCCCGCATCTTGAAAGGCACTCAAATAGATAAGCACTCACTAGGTCTTATGCCAAAAAATTTTCCTTTATTATCTTGATTAGCTAAGAGCAGAAAATTAGCAGAATTTGAGGTTTCGGGTAGCAAAGAAAAGTACAGAATGTGAATGGCATCAACATTCTCATCATGCGGGGTCCAGATTCTATGTGGCTCCAAGAGGAGCAGAGAGCAGACTCCATCTCGGCCCTCCAAAAGAGAGACTAGAGCAACAAAGAATCCATTTTCCATGACAAGTAAACCAATAAAGAGAAAATGAAAACTCAAAAATTAGAACACATGTTTATCCGTGCATGCGTGAGAGAGACAGAGAGTGAGTGAGAGAGAGATTTCAATTAGTACTGCATCAAATCTAAACCCAGGTTCTAAGATATAACCTTTAATGCACAGTTGTCATCGCTATGTAAAAGCCCACTCAACTTGATCTGTCAAACAAAATCCAAGAAAAATGTGATTCAAATGAGAACAAACATACTTCACATCCACTAATTCCCATTTTATTCAACCCATGTCTGTTAACATTATCACTTGATGCGTGCCCATTAATAAAAAACCAGCAAATAAAGTTATCTTAGTATTTTACTATGTCATCCTAAGTTAGCATGACATTATGTGTAATTACCATGCATTTGAATAGGTGATTTTAAGTGCAGGATTATACACGATCACTATACTATTGAAAATGTTACCAAAGTTTAATTACCAAACCAATTCATTATACCAATACACCCTATATTACAATGATATTAATGGTGTTATTCCATCGTTGATGTAAAATCCTACATTATTCAATTAATCATGTATATGGGAACTTTTTTCATATGTTTATCTTTGGCCAGCACAAGGGACCTGTGATTTGATGGAAGAAAATGAAAGTTTCGTTTCAATTGTGGTCATCAAATACGAAGGTAAATCCATTCTATGTTGAACAATATGAAGAACAACACATTTGGTTTAATTCCAAATGATATCTCAAGATAGTAACCATACCACTGAAATCATGTCCGGATACTCCACCAATAAATCTCCAACAACAAGCTCCAGAACCTAGGGATATTTAAGACGTTACTTTGAAGTGGAAAAAAATATGAAGAATTATCCGATCAGAACTTGCTCTAAAAGACTTATCAACAAACCGCAGATTTCCCAGAGCCACGGGGACCAAGGAGCAGAATAGAATTATTGCATGCCTCAGTAATTGAACTTGATATCATGAATTTCAGTTTACTGCAAATAAATAACACGTAGTTTTCTCAGCACCTAATTTAGTTGTCCGCAAACAATGCAATAAAATATCTGATAGAAACCAAAACGGATATAAGGGAGCAAGACCTGTAGTTGCTGTCCGGAGAATCGTGGAGAGGCTTGAATACAAATTTGGGGTCACAGATTCTACTTCTCAGAAGGCTTAATGCCTTCATTTTGTGACTTTCTCGCCCCATCGGTTCCGATACTCGAAATGCGAGCGAATTACCGGTAATTAAGTTTCGGCTGGCTAGTTCAGTAGCTAATCACTACCCTAGTAACCCTGTTCAGTGGCTAATCGCTACCCAAATATTCAAACAATAACTAAATAGCTAGCAGATAAACATAATTCAAAAGGACGGAATGAAGCAAACAAAAGAGAAGGCTGGATTGTGCGGTGGTAGGGTGTGGGTCCACATATCAAAATATCAGAGAGAGAGAGACTCTTCTTCTTGCTCAGTTGAGTGCAAGTCTCAGAGCCTCAGAAGTATCGAGTAATATCCAACCGTTTCGGCGATCAAAGATTCAAAGACACACTATTTGCAATCGAATAGCGAATGGGAAGTACCAGGGTAGCTCCCCATGTCCTTCCTCAATTGCAGCTCCGTAGTTCTTGCATCAGGGGAGTCGGGTCGATCCGGGTCAGCATAGGTTCTATACGGATCCGCAACTTGACCAGGACTTCGATCTTCGAGGTTTAGCTTCCATTCCATGTCTCATGGAAGCATGGTTGCTTGGGTCAAACCTCAATGATTCATATGTATCACCGAAGTCAACAAAATTATAATTAAAATAATTTAATTAAATTAAATTAAGTGCAAAAATACTTATCCATTTTTTCCAAAAATACATCAAACACTATATACCTTTCTTGTGTGCAAATTTAAAATAGGTGCAAAAATATCAAAACCATTAAAATGACTTTATTTTGTTACTTTTATGCTGTTTTTGGCTCGATAGAAGGGAGGGGAGGAATTCTAATAAAAGAAAGGGAAGGGAAGGAAAGAGGCGAGTAGCTACAAAGGGAAGGAGAGGGGAGGGAAGGGATTTTAATGAAGGAAAGAAATTTTAATGATAACTTGTTTGGTTTGGAAGGGGAAGGGAGAGAAACTAATCAAAATTTGACTATTTTAACCTTATAAAATTAAAATGAAATTTCTCACTTTTTTATTTTGTTAAGATAGAAATATGAATAATATAATTTACCAACTTTGACTTGCCATAATACAAATTATTTATGACCACTTGTTATTTGAACAATAATTAAAAAATAACAAGAATTATAATATTTTTAATTGAACCAACTTTCACATTTCCAATATATATTAAATAGATTGAACTTGTCTACCAATATATATTACAATCAAAGTAAACATCCACATTTCCAAAATAAAAAGATCCATGTGAAAAAAGATTCATGAGCAAATATATCATCCATGTTAAAAAAGAATTCAAATACTAATAACATGATACAAGACTACTCCTAATGAGAATATGAAGAAGAGCCAAACACCATATCCATGATTACTGCTTTACGTGCTGGAGATGGGCATTGAACAATTGATCTCAACTTGTCAACATCACTCATAAGATAGTTATAAATCCGAGGCTTTTTGTCAATATCAAATCCACATTCACTTATCAAATGCCAAATCTCTTCACTTGACATGGGAGGAATCTTGTGGATAAAACTCTTTTTTTATAACATTTTACTCATGTAATAAATCATTTCCCCGGTTCAAAACGTCATGAATTAAATCATGACTTCGAGCTAATGCTTCATTGCCTTCTCTAATTGCTATAGCCATGTCAAATACAACGCTCTTCATGGTGCTGAGATCGGTCTCCTTATCTTGAGCATGCTCTTTCCTTCTCTTTTTACCATAATCACTAGTTTCTCCTTATGGTTGTTTGGAAGGTAAGGGATTTTCCTTACTAGTATCACCATCACTTAAAATCTCAACACCATCTAATGTGTACTCCTTTTGTGAGATAAGTTGATTCAGGTCATTAATAGTTTCATAATCTACTTCCATAGGAGATTAATGACGTCGTTTTCACTTCTCCTTTACTGTTAGAGACTCATCTCCACCAACTCTATCAGCTCCATATAAGATTATCATTTTATTGTAATTAGAAAATGGAGTATTTCGCCAAATGGTTTAGACTGAGATGATACATATACATATTACAAGAAACACAAGTTCAATTCCACATAAAAAAAAACAACCATATATAAAATGTAAAAATCATACCTGAATTAGAGCCTCCCAGACTTGAGGCTTAGCATCCACAATTGACTCGATGAGTTCTAAGCAAAACCACTTAAACCATTTTTAAATATATCATAAGCTTCTGAAAAGTTTCTTTTTAACGTCTTCCAATGATTTTTTATTTTGTCCTTGTCAATCTTCCTACCAAATTGTGCACTCGACAGTTGGACAATGTTTTCATAACTTGTGGTGGTAAATGTTCTATTAACTTTTCGACCGTGTTCATACTCATACATGAAGGCATCAATAAGGGCATCATCCATAGCCCTTGTCCAATTGAGCAATTCCTTGCCATTGTTTGATTTTGTTGCCATTCTATAGGCCTGTTCATTATAACATAATAAAATCTGAATTGAAAAAAAAAAATAGAGATAAGTCTAGTTTCAATCAAATTAACACCATAAATTGTTTTGACAATAACAAATATAAGTATTGAAAACAAAACTCAATCAAATTAAAAATATAAATCATTCTAACAATAATAAATACAAGTACTAAAAATGAATGTTGATTAAATACGCCAATTAATCAATGAGTTTGAGCTTGAGCTTGAGCTTGATAGGCAATCCACATTTCATTAGCTATATTTTCTCTAATAAGCTTGCCTTGAGTAGCCTCCACACCTTCATTATTTAGAGTACGACTATCATCATTTTCATTTAAATTTGCAAGTTCCTCATCAACTTTGCTAATAAGATCTTCATCAGGTTCTGTGGTCATCAAGTAATTATGAAGATTACAACATGTAAGTATTACCAATGTTTGAGCTTTGACCCAATAAGTAGGCTCTGATGAACTAGATAAAATTTGAAATTGTTTTTTCAATACTCCAAATGCTCTTTCGATTGCATTTCGTAATGATGCATGCCTTAGATTGAATAATTCCTTGTGATTTTGAGGTGGATTTCTTGAATATTTTTTTAAATGATATCAAACCCCTCTATAAGGTGTGATGGGTCCACTTGTTAACATGAAACCAGCATCTAGAAGGTAATATTTTCCTATAATGAATGAAAATAATTAATATGAATGAGTGATAATAACTTGATTCATTGGATAAATTTTAAAAATTATTCAAGAAGTTACCTTGGGGGATTTTAAGCCTATCTTCTCGAGTCAATGCATTCTCTAAAATTCTTGAGTCAATGCTGTGCCTTTCCACCCTGGAAGCACATAAGCAAACCTTAGATCAAATGAGCATGTTGCTAAAACATTTTGTGTTGGATACTCTTTCCTACCACGATATCGAAGGACATTTGCTGGAGATACTTTAACACGTATATGTGTCCCATCTATTGTACCAACACAATCTTTAAAAAAAGGGAAGAATTTACCCTTATTATGAATCTCAGGAGGTACTAAAGAACCATTAGGTTATACCAAAAAGTTTTCTTCTAGTTCAATAGTAGCGTCTAATACTTTATAGAGATGATAACTAATTGTCTCGCCAGACCTTTGAAAATAAAGTTAACGAATGATTTCTTGCTTTGTGTGCCAATATATGAAGAGTCTTAGCAACTTATTCTTTCACACTTACATATCGTGTGGCTCGTAAGCCGCCCTCTCTCTCTAACATACTACATAATTTTAAAATAGTTTCAAGACCCATCCAATCATGTCTCAATCATTTCTACTATTAGTTATTGGAGCCATTACTTCTCACGTACTCTTTCTCTTCTGGAACTCATATTATAACATTTTTTTTCATATTCCACATATGAGTCACATAGTACCATACAATAGCACAAATGATTTGAACTATAGCTCTTCGATACAATTCCAAGTATCAACGAACCAACATAAAATATTGAATTAACATTTGGTAAATCAACATATATTGATGTCTTACCAATTCCATCTAAATAAATAAATAAAAAATACTTCGAATCAAATCATAGATACTGTAATGTTAATTAGTTAGATAAACACAAATAATTTTTTTTGGTTTGCTAATTTTTATATTATGGGACGTCTAATTTAATATCAATAATAGCATATATGTGCAATAAAAGGAATAGGAGTAGGAATGAGAACTACATAGTAAATTATAATTTAACAAAATCTATATGTGATCAAGGGTCTCTCACTGCTACACTAGTGATAGTATCACATATATTAGTCAAATTTGAAGGGAAAACAAATTAAAAACTATATATGAGTTAACATAAATATGTCAACCAGAACTTCTATTCTTCTAGGTGCTAAGTAGGACTCTGCAAAGGCTTAGAACTTAAAGCCATTTTGCGTCTAATATGCATCCAAAAAAATATTTTTTGAAACTATACTGATAATTAATATTGGAAAAATTTTAGATATATGTGGGGTTTTTCCTTTCCTCCAATGTGAGAGACAATCCAAACCTATAACAAGCTTAAAAGCACTGCTTCCTATAATAAGCTTGCAAAAACGAGAAGCATCTATAAATAAATCTTCGAAACAAGCCTACAATTCCTCTAGCAAATGATTTAGCCAACGAATAAGACAGATAAATTCTGTTGGTTTGCCTGATTTGATCCTTTTATCTTTTATAAGAAGCATGTCAAACTTTTTCAGCTACTTACACGAAGAGCGAAAACCCAAAGAGTAATAGAATCTTTCTGGACTTTTTTAACAATGGACTTCACGGGCTTCAAAGAAAAGTCATATAGAAAAGTCATTGTTTTCTCTCCTACCATAGCTTATATATACAAGTAGAAAAATCAAAGAACACGCACCTGAAAAATAAGAGGGTTGAGTAATGAAGCTTAGAAGAAGATGATGATTGATAGACTCACAATTGGGTGGCGGCAACTTCTTGTGAGAGAGGAATTAAAATATTTTACTTAAGTTAATTTGAGAAGATAAAATTTTATCTCTCATCTCCCCTCCAAAAAACCTCACTTTTGGAGGGGAGGCTAGAAGAGAAAAGGAGGGAAGAAGAGCCTCTCCCTTCTTTAAAAAATACTTTAACCAAACAAGCAGAAAAGAGCAACTCCCCTCCCTTCCTAAAAAATTACACTAGCCAAACAACGCCTCCCCTCCGAAAACTCCGTACCAAACATAGTGTTAGAGATAGGGTGCACAATATTCTCTAAAAAGACTAAAAGACTCTTAATTAAAAAAAAAAAAAAACACTCTTCTCCCCTAACCTCTTTATTCATCTCACCCTAGAAAACTCAATCTCTTGATTCTCACTCCCTCCCTTTGATCTGCTTCTCCTTCCCTAACCTCTCAATTCTCACTCCATCCCTCCTTCTCACTCTCTTTCTCCCTCTCCCTCTCCCATCTCGTGCATACTTTCATTGTCACTGGTATGTGGCCATAACAATTTGAGAGTAGAGGAAGTTTAGAGACAGCAGTGACAATATTTGGAGAAGCTTATGTGCGGCCACATCAATATGAGAGTAGAGGAAGCTTAGAGAAGGTTGGCAACCACGGCGACGAGATCTAGAGAAGCTTGGGTGTGGTCAGGTCGATTTGAGAATATAGAAAACTTAGAGGAACTTGGTGACAACGGTGATAGGAGAAGAGCTTGGAGGCTGCATCAAGAGAGGCTATACCTGCTGGGTCCATAGAGAATAAGTTTGATAGAGGAGTAGATGACGCCGATTGGTTTCACAAGAGGAGAGAGGTTATCTTTTTTGATGCTATGATGATTGGAGGAAGTATAAGCAATGTTGTTAGAGACTGGTATTTCTATAGGGATGCTTTCAAGGTTATTAACTGTGCTTATCCATGTAACAACACTTGTTATAATCTAATTTTCAACTAATTCAACTTACTCATACTTTCATCTAGGGCTACACAAAGACTAGGTTGGACCGGGTTAGGTATTAGCCCGAAGTCTAGTCTAAAAAATAACCAGGCTATAATATTTAGTCTAAAAACCAGTCTGGTTTGGTTTAGCCTAAGACCAAGCCCGGGTTGGACTTGGTCTCCTGGGCTTCTAGACTAGTGCACCAGACTTCACTGCTTCCTTTTCTTTAAAAACAAAAAAACAAAAACAAGTGATGAATGGTAAAGAAAAGTTAGACTTGGACAGTCATTTTCTTTTAATGCTCACAATACATGTGAACATGATCATTAAACAGTAGATACTTGGATGTGGATAGTCTTTTTAGCTTTTCTATATTATATTCTATTAAAATAAAATAATTTTAAAAAAAACTTTACATTTTAAAATATATTTTATTCTTCCTCTATCTCATTAGCCTTCATCTTCTTCATATAAACTCAAACAGTAAACCCTCCAAGAACCATCATCACCTTCTACATCTTCAATGCACTAAGAGAACAATAATCTAACCTGTCTTCATCTTCCTTTTGAAGATGCATAGTTGAGAAACTTAAGGGGTGGCTAAGTCGAAAGGGGAGGAGAGAGGATAGAAAGGCTAAAAGCATTTAGGGCATAAACAAAGAAAAGGGAAAAAAATCTACCTAGATCGGGCCAGACCAAATGGTTTGAAGCATCAGTCTTGAACCTAATCTTACCTAGTTACTCAGTCTGACCTGATTGGTCTAATCTTTTTTTTTCGGGCAGCTTTTTTCCTAATCGGGTTGGATTGGGTTGTTGCAAGTTAGACTGGACAGACCAAGTTTTGGGTTTTTTGCATAGCCCTACTTTTATCTTTTTGTTTGCCATTCTTCTATCTTGTAATAGTGATAGTGAGGATTGGAGGAAGGAAAGAAGATTGTTAGTGTTTTGATCTCTTTTCTTATTTTTTTTTGATTTTGAATCTAATTTATTTCATACCGTGATGATTGTGATGATTATGTTTAAAAGTGGAACTTGGTCTTCTAGGTTTCTTAGGATGAGGATGAATCGAGTGTGCAAAGAAGAGTGTGTTTTTATTAATTGGGGGTATTTAGGTCTTTTTAGAATAATATTGTGGGCAATTAAGTTATTTGAACAGTTTTGATAGTTTTGCATCTATTTTCAACTTGCATTGATGGATTTACACATGAGAAAAATATATGGTGTTAGATGTACTTTTGGAAAAAGTTGATGGCTACCCTTAACCCTTATAAAAATAATAATAATAATAAAAACATCTACGCATAACCCTACAAAAATAATATTTAAATTAAAAGGTACTTCTTTGGTCCTTAATATAAGACCCATTTAACTAATTTAATTGGATTAAGGAGGTTAGGTAAGTTAGTTAATTATAAGAAAAGCGACACATTTTTCCTAAAACACCATAATCATCTTTCTTAATACATCATCTCCCTTTTCTACTTGATTATAGTTGAGAAAGTATCTATAAGGGTAATTTAGAGAAAATTGATAAATATGAGAAATGAGTTTTATATTTAGGACCAAAACCAACTCAAGGATTGAGTCCTATATTAAGGACAGGAGGAGTATTACTATACAAGTAGGTGAAATATTACCTCCGTTCTTTAATATAAAAAATAGTTTCACATTCAATTGGGTTTTAAATATAAGATCCAAATTTATATTGTTTCTCATATTTATCTTTTTTTTAAAGATAGTTCTTATAGTAGTTGCATAATATAAATGTTTCATCAAATAGTAGCTCTAGACCTCTAACTAATATATATTATTAGCAAAGGAAAGATAATACTTATTTATTACAAATAACTAACTTAACTAATTTTTTTAATCTACTCAAATTAATTAACTAATTTTTATATTAAGAAGCAAATGTATTAATATGTAAATATTAGTGTATAAATTATTGGCAAAAAATATTAGTGTATAAATTACACATAATGCACGATTTCTTCAGCTGGCTCTTGGCAAGTTTTTCTTCACAACTTTGAAGGCAAGGTTATTGGACAATTCAGGTATTTTGTTTTTTTGCCAACAATATTCGGGTAATTCTAGACTAAGTCTTCCTCTCACGTATACAAAATTGTGTTGGAATCAGCGTTTCATACTTTATTTATTAGGAATACGTGAAGAAGCCTGATCCTTTTATCTTCCTGTTAACTAATTTTTGAATAAAAGTTTTTGACCTGGCAGAGGAGAATTGAAGTTTATGATTGTTAGTGGTAATTAGTCTGTCAAAAAGGCAATATTGCCCCTTAGTCCTTTGCTATTAAAATTATCAATGATCAAAGTTATAATTTTAACGGTGAACGTTAAGTTTTTTAATTGTAAGGGATAACTTTGTTATGATTCTAAATTTACACCTAAAAATACTTTCAGATATACAGAATTCTTGAGTGGAAACTTTCAAACCAAATTTACATCTTAATGCAAAAGAAATTAATGATTTTTTTTTTTTTTGCATTATGGTAAAGCTCTATTTGGCGTGTTGTATAAAAGCTGGATACAATAGTATAAGCTAGTGAATTCGTTGTTTAATATTTGGAAACTTAACCTCTCTGATTTGTCATTTATTATTTTTAAGAGTATTGTATTGTTATTTTCATAATCAAATACTCCTCCGGTCTTAAATATAAGACCATTATCCTAGTGTGTATAAGAGTCTCATATTTAGGATTAGAAGAGTAATAAAATAAATTTATTTTTGAGCTTCTTGATAATTCCATTCCTATTCATTTCAGTTGTATCTATTAATAATTTGATATCAATTCTTCGTTAAAAACTTGTGTCAATAACACAAGCCAATATTGAGTGTACTATGTAAAGTTGCTCAAGTTAATACATATTGTATTCGGGTATTTTACATATTTGTATAGAGAAGCTTTTGAGCTTCTTCATAATTCCATTCGTATCCATTTCAGTCGTATATATTAATAATATAATATCAATTCTCTGGTGAAAACTTACATCAATAACACGAGCTAATATTGAGTGTGCTATGTGAAGTTGCTTAAGTCAATACATATTGTATACGGGTATTTTACATATTTGCACAGAGAAGCTAGCACAAAAATGTTGGCAAAAAAATAGCACCAAAAAAAAAATTCTGCCACATATAGAACACTAACTATAAACCCAACAGACAAAAATTTGAGGCTGTGATGTCATTTGATCAAGTGATACCACTTGTTTCCGTGGTTGTTTCTAAAAGGTAAGTCTACTCATTCTCAAAAAATTTGCTTCCTTGATAAGAGCGCAAGTTGATCCCTTGTTTCTGAAATTACAGACAGAAGCTTTACCAATAGTCACCAAAAGCTCAGACCTTCTGAGTAAAATGCCCTAATTGCTCAAATTGGCTCATTTTCTGCTGACAATCTTCCGTGAAGAACCCTCTCCCTTGCATTTCTTGCCTGCAAATTCAGAGTCTCCAGCAATAAGGACATATCAACACAGTAAATGCTCAGAACTGATCCATACCTTGGCAAGATTGGTACATGAACTATCAACCGAATATTAAAAATTGAAGATAGGGCTATATGAGTTATCAGCCCAGTAGCATTTTAAATGAACTCTCGATTGCTCAAAAGTAAAAATTATGCATCCAGTTTCAAGATGTACTGAAATGGTACTCCTGAAAGTGAAGAGCAAACCTCTTCCCCCACCCAAGGGGGGAAAAAAAATCTGTACAACTTAGAGTGATAGATAGCAAAATCACTTGGCAATTGAAGATAGGGCCATAGTGTTATCAGCTCATCAGCATTTCAAATGAACTTTAAGTTGCTCAAAAATAAAAACTAAGGCATCAAATTTGAAGAGGTAATTAAATAGTACTCTTGAAGGTGAAGAACAAACCTCCCTTTTCCAATCTGTACAGCTTATTATGATAGATAACAGAACCACTTGGCATGTTGAACCAATCGTTATTCCAATCCAAAGGCCTTTTGCTCTCAAGCCTACCCAGAAACCCAACATTGCGGCTATTGGAATGCCAAGAACATAGTAAGATCCAAGGTTCACATATGCCCCTAGATGCTGCCAACCAATTCCCCTAGCAATACCTGTTTTGAAACAAGAGCCAAATTCCATGTTGTATAGCTTTATCTCAGAGTATAAAAGAAAACAATGTCCATTGAATAGTATAGAGGAATAGAGGGGGCCAACCTGAAAGGGTACCATTTAAGGAGTCCATTATAACAGAGAGACATAATAGAGGAACCATATCTCTGACATAGTCCACAACATCCCCCTCATTGCTAAAAACGTAACCTAAAACATTTTTGCCAGCAAACATGATCGAGCTCATCAAAAGAGCCCCAGAAGAAGCTAGAAACACAGCAGCAAAAACAGCAACGCGTGCCACTTGTGGACTTCCAGCTCCTAATGCATTTGAAACTCTAGTGCTGAAAATGCCAATCACAAGAGATTCCAAAAACAAAATTACATTAATATACTGCTGGAGAGTTCTGTAAACGAACGTGTATTTATACACTGATGAATTTTATCTGAAGCAAACCTTGCTGCTGAGCCAATTGCTTCGGGTATTGTAAAGATTGTTGTGGTTGTTGATACACTGGTCATGAAAATAAACATCGTTTATCATTACCTGACTAGTTCTACTTAGATTTTAAAAGCTGGAACACAGAGAAATAAAGATATACCATACGGATAAGATGGAAGTTTCAAGCTCTGGATTTGGCAGAAGACCGGAAATCAAGGTGAGCAGCTCAAATGACCACCATTCAAAGCTGAATTTTTTCCCATCAATATTTAATAAACATACAAAGTTACACAAAACATAAGATAGGCTCTGGGGGGCAAGAAAGTTACCAAACCATTGCAGCGGAAGGAACAGCAAGGCTAAAGAACTCTCTAATCCCTCGGAAAAGCTCCATGGAAATTGAAACCCGGGTGTTTGCACATGAACTAGAGAATTTCATATATAATCCAAGCAACATTACATTCAGCCAATATGAAGCACCAATAGCAAAAGCTGCTCCTAGGCAACCAATTCCAAATTTAAAAACTAGTACCCAACAGAAAACCAAGTGGAAACAAAGAGTAACCGAAGAAGTTACGAAAAGTGGACTGATCAAACTCTGCATCATGAAGAATCGAATTAGTGCCTGAAGTGTTGCATAACCAAAGAGAGCAGGAATGAGGCACACTGCAAATTTGCCTGCTTCATGTGAAATCAAAGGATCTTGACCAATGAAGACAAGCAGCTTGCCCAAGAACATCCACAAAAGACACAGAGGGAGGCAAGATAAAGTAAGACAGAAGATAGCAGTGTGAATCTGAACACCAAATTTTCGATATTGCTGAGCTCCATAGGCTTGCCCACATAGAGTTTCCAGTGCACATGATAGTCCATACTGTTTGATGTGTACAGAATACAAATGCCACCAATATTAATATGATAAAGAATTATAAAATTTACAAAAAAAAAAAACATATTTATAAGTCATAAACAATGTGACTCCTCATGGTCTTTGTGTAGCCTGTTTGTTTTTCTTTCTATTTCTTTAATCTTTCTTCAAAGTTCAAGTACTTTATCAGGCCCTTTGCAACTTTGCATTTTTTCCTTTAATATTTTGTACATATTTTAATAGGGTTTAAATGCCAGAAATATGGGCACAATTTTTGAAATACTTGTATATTATTATCTCCACGCATTCCATGGGGCAAAAGTTATGTAATTAGTTCTCAGATAGAGTTTTCCTTTGTTCATTTTTATCCCCCGGTGAGAGGAAAAGATTATGGCAGAACTGATCAAAATAGCAGGTGATTCTAAACTTCATTATACAGACCCAGCTGCTAGTTCTCTCCTATCTCCTGTTACCTTCAAAAAGTAGTTCTACTTTCCATAAATCAACGTTAAAGAATCATCATGTGGTAGACCCACCCACTTATACCCTTTTTTCTCTCTCTCCTTTCAAATGGCAAGAGAGAATCTCACAGCCATTATACGTACATCACACACGACATTTTTATCGGGGGAAAAAAAATATATCATAAATGACATATTGAAATAGATGTAAGCTCAATCGAAGAGAAAATTGCCGCCTTTATTCTTCTGCATAGCTTCCTTCGTTTACTATATACTTTTGCACACTTCAATGAGAAACTCTTTCTTTTGTCAAGGGGGGGAAAAAAACAGAGAGAGGAACTCTTTCAAATAGGCTGCATGGAACTGTTACTCTCATTTCAAAAGCAAATGGATGATCATTTGCCTTAAGAGAAAAATGAGAATGGAGAGTGACTTACAATAACGCTGAACCCAGAGACAGCACAGAGAGAGATGGCAATCGCAGTACTTGAGAGAGCAAGCTTGCCCAAATGACCCACCATCATCAATGAAATAATTTGCAGAAAGAAGAGTGACCAATTCACAGCCACCATAGGGCCGGCTAGGTAGCTTACATCTTTCACTTCTTGACCAAACACAACCCATGTTAAGCCTAACCCACGGTCCTCTCTCTTCAACTCCCAATTTTTCCCCAAGAGACCCCCATGATCCATTTTTTCTCTCTACGACTGGCACGCTCACGGTCACAGACGCAATAAGTTCTTATTTCAAAGATAAAAGCTTCCGGAGATTTGCTGTGCCCTTGTTCACGTGGGATTAAAGTAGAAACAAGAAAGCTTTGACAACTTAAAGCTATGTTTGGATTACAGTTTCCAACAGTAAAAGTTTAGGGAAAGAGGTAAGTTTGCGACTTATTTAAAACCAAATAGTTGTTTGGATAGAGCTAAAAGCCCAACCAACTTCTAACTTTTAATCTTAATTAGACTCAATAAAGAAAAATATAACTTTTTCATTTCAAACTGTAGTTTCATGTTTTCTTATAAATTTTTATAACTGAACTCATTTTTCTATTTAATCATCTAAACAACTTTTAATTTTTCTAACTTATTTTTTATAAGCATCAATCCAAATATAAATTACATTATACTAACTGATTTTTATTTTAATTTCAGTTACAAAAATCAATTAAATTAAAAGTCAGTTTTACCCAATACCAATCCAAACACACTCTTCTAATAGCGGCAATATAGTCAGAAGCCGTTAATGTCGACTGTCACGGGGCTCCGACGTCCCCTAATTCCTTGATGGTGCGTGATCCACAGCAAAATCAAAATCAAATCGTTCCGATCCTTCTAGAGACGGAAGCACGCGTCATCGTCTCCAAATCGGACATTGTTTTACACACGTTTGTTACCACGCTATGTACTTTTCTTTTCTTTTCTCTTTCCAATCATTTTTCCTGTGCAAAAATGATAGTACCTCTCGTCCTTTTTAGTAGTTTGATTTTTATTTTAATCATAAATATAAAATTTCAATATATTTTGTCTTTTATATTTATATATATTTTTTCAAATGAGTCTTTTTAATAATAATAATTAATAAAGATATTTTAGAAAAAATAATACATATTTATTACAAGTAACTAATTTAACTTATTTTTTTAGTCCACTCAAATTAGTCAATTAATTCTTATATTTAAAATTAGAGGCAGTACTATATGTATATTTTGTAGCAAAATTTCCTTCTATTTTTTATTATAAGGCATTGACAAGTATTCTTGGTCCTTTCAGTAAGTTATTTTCTTAGTTTCAAGGAGCATTAAAATATTTTTTTCCTCATATATGTCCATTTTTAATAAAGGTGATGGTGGAAAATAAAAATTAATATGATGCTGTAATTTAGTGTAGTTAATAAAAATAATATTACAAATTAATTAAATTTTATGATAAATTTAATATTTTTAACTTTTTTTATTTATATATGTAAATTAACTAAAAATGACTTATAATAGTGACTGGAAGTAACAACATATATATATGTATTTTAATTTTATTTGCAAAATAATATATTGTATTACCTGTACAAAATTCAAATTTGAATGCAGCAGTATTTAAAAATTTTGTGAGATTCTTGGTAAATCTTTTTTCTTTTCTTCCGGTTTTTTTTTTTGGTTTTTTTTGGGTCGCTCTTAATAGTGATTCAGCATTCATATATAGCATTTTGATTTACTACAACATAACATACTACATTCAATTATTAATATAAGAGCTAGATAAATAATTTACAATTGTTAATAAAATTGGTTTAAATTAATTATTTATAATAAATATGCTTTGATTTTTCTAAACTAGCCACTTTAATAACACGTATTAGAATTACCTCTTAATTAGGAGCCCCTTAACACATACAATTAATAGAGATACTTTAAGTAGCAACTTATAAATTTTGGAGGCAAGATGAATTGATGTCTTGTATCCTTTTTTGTGAAAAAAAATTAAGGTAAAGCGTTGGGTTCACCTACAAGGGTAGGAAGTTTATTCAGCCACACCATCAAGTTGCCTGTTGGTCACACACCAAAAGCCCTTTTGGACATAACCTCAATGTGCTTTGCCTTGGGTCATTGGCCGGGTATGTGGGAATTAGCTCCAAATTTCATGTTTTACCTCCCTCAACTACATTGCAGCGGCTTTAAGAATTGAATTCACTTCTTTTAATTTAATGACCTTGTCCAGCCCTTCAACAGCTAAACTCACGGATGAGGGGGTCGAGGTCTTAAATTTAAAACCAAGGTAAATCCTTTATTATATTTAGTTTTTATATTTAAACCGGAAGCAGGATAACTAAGATGCCATAAATGAGATAAGAAATGGATGAGGTAACTTCACAATCACGGCATGCATGGCTAACATTCATCTTCTCCACCAACTCTTGTCTAAAGCTTTTATGGACAGGATTCTTCAGAACCTAATCCATATCATTGAGAATTTGTTTTCTTGACGGCACAAACCGATTGACCAATGGATGGCTTCTTCGTTTTGCAGTATGCCAATAAGTGATCCTATATTTTCTTTAACTGAATGAGTCTGTTGTTTGGGATCAGGTTTGGATGGCTCAAATTTACTTCCCGCAAGTAAAAAGCAACTTCAATTCGAAGATATTTGTTTGGGCCTGCGCAGGAATTAAAACCAACATGACCACAATTAATTTATTATTCACATAAACTACAAAATCAAAATTAAATATTCTATTATTCTATCCCTCTTTCTCTCTTTGTTTTTTAATGACAGTCGGGCTTTTTTGGGAAAAAAAAAAGGAACAAATTTACCAAAATCATTTAGTCAACAAGTTATGTAACCAGCAATGCCCTCCTTGATACAATTGTATGACAAAAAAAAAACAAGTTTTCTTTTTTAAAGCTATATTATTATTAGTTTTGTTAAAATGCGTATACGGGTATTTGTAAATTTACTTGTGAACTTGATTTAGTGGACATAAACAACTTAATATTTTCCCAAACATTTGGCACACAATTATGACGTCCTTCACATTCATTTTCTCCATTAAGTCTCCTCAAAATTAAAGCTTTATGTATGGACAGATCATCTTTAGAACCTTATCAACATCACTGAGTATGTTTCTCAGACGACACAAACAAATTGAGGAATTGATAGCTTCATCTTTGATTTTTATGTGAGGAACAGCTTGTCATTATACTAGTATTCATGAACATATATGATGCAAAAGGCACAATTGGATGTATGATTATCATTTATAAGAAGAGCCAATACAAGTAAATTATTCTCATTAATTACTGGAATAAATTAATTAAGGAAAATAAAAACCTAGCTTATGCCAAAGACACGGGAATATTGATAGCATGCAAATGAACCATGCCATATTTTTCTTAACCGGTTTATATGCCAAAGAGCTGAGAAAAATTAGTTCACTTAAAATAAGAATCTTTTATGTTTTATGAGAAAAATTTTTTCACACAAACATGTATACTCCTCCCATTCTTAATATAAAATCTAATTAGTGTTGGGATAAACTTGTCCTGAAATTTTTCAGAATGAGACAATAAAAGAAAGGACAGGGTCGTCTTGTCTTGGTAGTAATATTTTTTTAAAATTTTTCATCATATTATAATTATTAAATGTTAAAAACAAAAAATATTCAAGATATGTGTAATACAAAATGTTTATTTTTATAGCTTTCCCAGACAACACATATGTAGTTAAATGGTTATTATTTATTTAGAGCTTGTATACTTGCTTAAGATTTTTGGAATGGTGAAAATAAATTTTACAATTATTATGTTACTAAACCCTAAACCCTAAAGAAATAAAAGAGAAGACAAAAAGATACTTTCAAAAGGGTTAGGGAAAATTGCAAATAAAGAGTCGCGAATATATAAAATTATGATTTGGGACTCTAAATTTGAAAAATAACAAATAAGGACTTAGTCTCACTTTTGCAAATATAAAATGTGGGTGAAATGTCTAAAATGCCCCTCAGCCAAATTGTGATTTGGTGTATTGAAGTCGTGATTTGCTAAAGTGAATTTGTTATTTCTCATAGTCAACTCGTCATTTGGCATACCCTCAACCAAATTATGATTTGGTTTATTGAAATTGCCATTCGCTAAAGTGAACTTGTCATTTCTCATAGTCAACTTATCATTTGGCTGAGAGGCATTTCAGACATTTCACTCACATTTCATATTTGCAAAAGTGAGACTAGGTCCTCATTCCCTATTTTCCAGATTTAGAGTCCTAAATCACAATTTTACATATTCAAGGGGTCTTTATTTGCAATTTTTCCAAAGGATTATGCCCAAAGAACTAAAAAACAACCAAAATCTAATGCAATAAGTCCAACCACATGACCCAAAAAAAAAGGGACATCTTGATCCCGTCTCATCCTCATTGGGACTGCTACAACACTAAGACAAGATGAGACACATGATAGATTTCTTATCTTGTTGCTATTCATTGGGATGGGCCTCTCAGTCCACCCTTATAATATACCCAACATTTTAAAAATCTAGTTGGCAAAAGAAACATTTTAAAAATCTATTTTGGTCCAAATCACTGATTAGGATTTGTTAGATTTAGAGACATAATTTTGAATTTGGGCATTATGACTGCCTTTAAAATGGATTTTCTCGTTAATCTATGCTTCTTTTGCTTGTGTTCACTTTTAATATTGTTGGAATCCTTAATGAGCGTAAAGCCAATTGGGCTGTGTTGAGATTATGGTCTTTCATCTTCGGAAAAATGGCCCACAATGTGAACATGAGAAGTTAGGCCACAGATAAATTTCTGTTTCTGTTTATACATTAAAAAAAGGTCTCTGTATTGGGAAAAAAAAAAGGGCCTCTTTTCATGACAGGCCTTGTTGATTTTTGTTGGTTTTTTTAGTTGATGTCTTTGTTGTTTCTATTTATAAGTTATTTATACTACCAACATGCAAATTAAGAAATATATTATATTGATAATTTTTTACACATTTACTATTATTAAAGAAAGGATATTAAAATATATTTTATATTTCCTCTCATCGATTTACTATATTTCTCGTTGCTTTTATTAAGTCAATAAGGATAAAATTAAAAAAAGCTCATTAATTACCTTATAAGTGACTTATATTTAGAAACATATGTATTTTTTTTTTACAGGTAACCTATAAATAATAATAGAGTGGTATATGATTATCCCCAATTTTAAGCCTCATCTCTTATGTGGGCCTTTGTTGCAAAGCTTAGAGTTAGGCCTAATCCAATTTGAAAGGAAAAATTAAGTAATCTAATCACTAAAAACTCCCACAACAAATAAGCAGTATGG